TGTACAATGTTCTCCTGGTTCTTTGCATGGATTCTTACAAGTTTTCCGAGATTTTTCTGAAACCATCTTGCCTGTCATTTCTTATAGCACAATAGTATTCCATCACAGTCTTATACTACAACTTGTTCATTCATTCCCCAAATTGATGGGGCACCCCTTCAATGTCCAGTTCTTTGCCACCACAAAAAGAAATGCTACAAATAAGTCCTTTTCCCTTTTTGTTGATCTCTTTGGGATGCAGACCTAGTAGTGGTATTGCTGGGTCAAAGAGTATGCACAGTTTGATTGCCCTTTGGGTATAGCTCCAAATTGTTTTCTAGAATGGTTGGGCACAGTTTCACCAATAGTGCATTAGCGTCTCTCTTTTTCCACACCCTCTCCAGCATTTGTCATTTTCCTTTTCTATTAGCTAATCTCATACTTGTGTAGTGGTACCTCAGAATTGTTTTAATTTACATTTCTCTGATCAGTAATGGTTCAGAGCATTTTCCTCATGTGACTTTGATTTCTTCTTCTGAAAACTGCCTGTTCATATCCTTTGACCATTTATTCACTGGGGAATTGCTTTTATTTTAATAAATTTGGCTCAATTCCCTGTATGTTCAAGGAATTGGGCCTTTATCAGAGAAACTTGATGTAAAAAATTTCCCCCAGTTTCTTGCTTTTCTTATAATTTGGCTGCATTGATTTTGTTTGTGTAAAACTTTTAAAATTTCATATAATCAAAATTATCCACTTTTCTTCCTAAGACCCTATCTCTTATTTGGTCATAAAGTCTTCCTTTATCCATAGATCTGATGGGTACATTTTTCCATAATCCCATAATTTACTTATGATACCATTCTTTACGTCTAAATCATTTACTCATTTTGACCTTAATTTGGTATGTGGTGTGAGTTTCCACCAAACTGCTTTCTAATTTTCCCAGCAATTTTTGCCATGTGGTAAGTTCTCATCCCAAAAACTTGGATTTTTGGTTTTATCCAACACTTGATTATTATGGTCATTTACTACTGTGTTTTATGTATCCAGTCTATTCCACTGATCCACCACTCTATTTCTTAGCCAATACTGGATTGTTTTTTATGATTCCTGCTTTGTAATGTAGTTTGAAATATAGTACTGCAAAGGTGGCCTTCCTTCACATTTTTATTTGTTAATTCCCTTGGTATTCTTTACCTTTTGTTCTTTTAGATGAATTTTAAATTATTTTTCCTAGCTCTATAAAATAATTCTTTGGTAGTTTGATTGGTATGGTGGTACAGAATAAATAAATTAATTTAGGTAGAATTGTCATTTTTATTACATTGGCTTAGCTTACCCATGAGCAATTAATATTTTTCTAGTTGTTTAGATATGATTTTATTTGTGTAAAAAGTGTTTTGTAAATGTGTTCATGTAGTCCCTGGGTTTGTCTTGGCAGGTAGACTCCCAAGTGTTTTAAGTTTTTGTTTTTTTTTAAGGCAACTGGGGTTAAGTGACTTGCCCAGGGTCACACAGCTAGTAAGTGTAAAGTGTTGGTCTGAGGCCGGATTTGTACTCGAGTCCTCCTGACTTCAGGGCCGATGCTCTATCCACTGCACCACCTAGCTGCCCCTCCAAGTGTTTTATATTGTCTACAGTTATTTTAAATTTAATTTCTCTTTCTATCTTTTCCTGCTGGGTTGGTTTGTTTTTTTTGTTTGTTTTTTTTGTTTTGTTTTTGGCAATATGTAGGAATGCTGATGATTTATGTGGGTTTATTTTATATCCCGCAACTTTGCTGAAGATGTTAATTATTTTAAATAGTTTTTTTAGTTGAGTCTCTAGAGTTCTTTAAATATAACATCATATTTTGTGCAAAGAGTAATCATTTTGTTTCCTTTTTGCCAATGTTTATTCCTTCGATTTCTTTTTCTTGTCTTGCAGCTATAGCTAGCGTTCCTAATAACAATATTGAATAGTGGTGATAATGGACATTCATGCTTCACCCCCAATCTTACTGGGAAGACTTCTCATTTATTTCCATTACAGATAATGCTTGCTCTTGACTTCAGATAGTACTTATTTTTAAAAAGGCTCCATTTATCCTTGTGCTTTCCAGTGTTTTTTATTTTTAAATAGGAATGGGTGTTGTATCATGTCATAAGCTTTTTCTGAATCTATTGAGATAATCATGTTATTTTTGTTATTGATACATTGATTATACTTACAGATTCCTAATATGGAACGAGCTCTGCATTCTTGGTATAAACCTCACCTGGTTATAGTGTTGTGACATGTTGCTAATTTTTGCATTGATATTCATTAGAGAAATTTGCCTATAGTTTTCTTTCTCTGATTTTGCTCTCCTTGATTTAGGTATCAAAACCATGTTTGTGTCATAAAAGAAAATTGGTGTAGGACTCCTATTTTTTCAAATAGTTTATAGAGTATTGAGATTATTTGTTCCTTAAATGTTTGGAAGATTTCACTTGTAAATTTAGCTGGTCCTGGAGATTTTTTCTTAGGGAGCTCATTGATGGCTTGTTCAATTTCTTTTTCTAAGATAACCATTATTTAAGTATTGTGTTTCCTGTTCTGTAATGTGGGCAGTTTATATTTTTGTAAATGTTTATCCATTTCCCTTAGATTGTAAATTTTACAGGCATATAATTTTACAGGCAAAATAACTCCTAATAATTGCTTTAATTTCATCTTTATTGGTGGTGCATTCACCCTTTTTATTGTTCATATTGGTAATTTGTTTTTCTGCTTTTTTTTATTCAAATAAAACATTGCTTTATTTAATTGTCTCCCCCCACACCATAAAATCAGCTCCTACTTCTGTTTATTAATTTAATGGTTTTCTTACTTTCGATTTTATTAACTTCACCTTTGATTTTCAGGATTTCCATTTTGGTGTTTAATTGGGGATTTTCAATGTTTTTTTCCTGTCTAGTTTCTCAAAATTGAATGCCTCATTCATTCATCTGTTCTTTCTCAATTTTATTGATGCAAGCATTTAGAGGTAGAAATTTTCTCCTAAGTTCTGCTTTGTCTGCATCCCACAAATTTTGCTATGTTGTCTCATTGATGTCATTCTCTTTAATGAAATTATTGATTGTTGCTGTGATTTGTTCTTTGACCTACTTATTCTTTAGGATTAGATTATTTAGTTTCCAATTAATGTTTAATCTATGCTTCCATAGCCCTTTATTGAATGTAATTTTTATTGTGGTATGTTCTGAAAACAGTGATTTAATATTTCTGCATTCCTGCATTTGTTTGTGAGTTTTTAATGCCCTAATAACATTGTTAGTTTTTGTAAAGGTGCCATGTACAGCTCAGAAAAACTCCTTTTCATTTTCCATTCATTTTTCTTCAGAGGTCTATCATATAAAACTTTTCTAAAATTCTATTCATCTCCTTAACTTCTTCCTTATTTATTTTATGGTTAGATTTAACTAGCTCTGGGAGGGTAAGTTGATGTTCCCCACTAGTATAATTTTACTATTTCCTCTTGTAATTCATTTAACTTTTCCTTTAAGAATTTGGATGCTGTGCCATTTGGTACCAATATGTTTAGTTTAAGTTCAACTGAATGTGTTTTTCCATTTTCCTGAAGGGGGCTGATTGATTCTT